ACCGCACTTATTTGGCATTTATATGTCGACTCATAAAATTTTATTATTAAAACGACTTTCATTTACTTTTACTTATGCTATCATTAATTTTTTTATAAATTTTTTATATAAAAAAATAATATTACATTTTTTGTATATATTTGTTTAAAAAATATTATTTGAATTATATTTATATAGTATTAAAAACTATTAATATAATTTATAATGTTTTATTTTAACATTTAGCAAATATTAGCTAATTAAACATCAATGTTAATAAATTTAAATCAAACAAATCAAATAGGTCAAATATAGTTACATATTTAAAGATAAATTGTCAAAAATTATCAATGTAAATATAAAAATTTCAATAATTTAGTTTAAAATACAGTATTAAAATGACAAAATAATATAAGGATTATAAATATATATAAAAAAACCTACAAAAAAGTTTAAAATTTTAGTTTCTGCATAAAATTAATGATACATATTTTGTTAACCTTTTATACTAAACTATATTATTTAAATTAAATCTATTAATATTTTATAACTTTTCTAAAGTAATATTACAAGTTAGCATAAATGTCGTATATTTATAAACTATTAAATATAAATGTCTAATACATTATATATAAAAAATTTTATTCACTCGATTACCAAATGTTAGGTATTTTTATTTATTTCAAAAATATATATATATTAAATGTTGATCACAGCGTTAAAAAATAAATGTAATATTTAAAAATGAAATCATTTTTCAAACAAACACATGATTTATGACATTTAAAGACTAATTTCAGTGGAAAAACACATTTTTACCACAAATCTAGATATTTTTTGTCATTATGTAAAATGTAGTGAAAAATGTTTACAAAATGGTATAGCGATTAAAGGTCTGAAAAAATATTATTTATACGATATTTTTAGTTTATATAACATCAGACTATTGCGTGGATTATATTTGAATAACAAATACTACATAAAACCTAACGCTTTTTACTACAGTATTATGTATTATATGCCAAATATATATTAATAAAGAAAAAATTATAAATTGTTTTTTTCCAATAAAATATAAAAAAAATTTGTCTATTATTTTTTAAAGCATATATAAAAAATAAAATAAAACTATTTTAATATACATTTTCTTTTATATAAACATAAATGACATATAATTTTTTATATATAAATATTGTTAATGTTTGTTTATATTTAAAAAATAAAATCTATTGTAATAAAAAAATTATTATATAAAATAATTTTGTATATAATATTGTATGTCATGACTGTTGTTTAAGTCAAATAAAATTAATCATTTCTTAATAATAAATATAAGAAACATTATATACAATGAATAAATGTTTGAAACAAAAAATAAAATAAAAATATTTTCATTTATTATATAAAACACCAAAAAGATAACAATTTATTAATATTAATAAAGAAAGGCATTTATGACAATAATTTTCTTATAGTAACACAAATATTCACATTTAAAATGACAGACAAAATGTGTTTGATTTTAATACATGTTTTGCTACTAATAGAAAAAAAGTTATTTCAGGAATTTTTCTTATATTTATGTACTGAATATAATCGTAAAACTGTGTATTTATTGAAAACCTTTTTTTCTACCGTACAGTAAATGTTTACTAATTTTATTATCTTTTCATATAAAAACAGTTATATATAAAATAAAATAATACAAAACTAAAGTAAAATGCATTTCTTTTAGATTATACAGTAAAGTATATTATATAGTATTTGATACAAACAAATGACTTATTTGTATTTTTTTATTTTATGAGTGTTTGTATTATATAATAATAAAAATCGTAGTAAAGTCTATTACCGTATAGATCTCTCTCTTTCTCTCTCTCTCTCTCTCTCTCTCTCTCTCTCTCTCTCTCTCTCTCTCTCTCTCTCTCTCTCTCTCTCTTTCTTTCTCTTAGATTTGTAGATTTAATTTCATTATAGCATTTAATTTTGATCACTATTTCAATGATAATACAATTGTAATGTATGTGTATTTGTTTGTTATAATGTTGTCATTGTTTGGATAAATTCAATGTATTTTTTGTGGATGAAATCCTTTATAACAAATACTGTAATATTATTATTAAAAAGCTGTGAAACAGTTTAATAACATTTTAATTATGATTATTACTATTATTATTATTATTATTATAAACTAATGTATACTATTTGTAATGGTCTTAATATAAAATTGGATATAACAAATAAAAAATATAAATTAATAATAAAAATAATGATCATGGAAATAAATATAATAAAACGGATTAAAATAATAGGTTTATATCATATAATACTAACAATAATAACTAAATATAATGACATATCATTTCCTAAATACAGTAATAGACAAACAAAACAAAAAATATATTAATAATATTGTGTGTCAGTGTTGTTGTTGTTATTGTAGTTATTTTAATAATAAATATAAAAATTTTATAAAATTGGATTTTTAATAAGTCTATATATAATATATAAATTTTTCACTAAATTTTACTATAAATGTACTATAAATTTTTTAAAAAAATGAAAGAGAAAACAAATTTCATTAAATTTCAAATAAAATATTTACTTCACTTTTTTTGTAAGTAATATATAACTTAATAATGCAGTGATCTTACGATTTTGTTGGTATCGACGGCACCGGTATTTCAGACATTCAATTTAATCAGACAAATACATGAAACATACTTTACATTGATTTTTATTTTATTGAAATTCATGTCATACTAATCATACCATATGTAACTTATATAATATAATATATGGTATAAATTTAGATAAATATAATTTAGATATCTCTCAATACACATTACTACAGTTATTAATCAAATGTTATTAATATTAATCCATTTTTGCTAATAGATTACACTTATATTGTACTGTATTACTACTACTGTACTAATATATCAATATAAATAAAAAACACTTTATAAATATATTAGATTTATATGATTTACCAAATATAAATCAATATGAGTTATACTGTTGTAAGTACTGTATAATTTCATAAATATTTATTATAAAAAGTTTATTATATCATTGATTTATTAAAAATAATTATTATTTTTTATTAAAAATCTGATAATTTAAATAGTGTTTCCTATTGTTTATTATTATTAACTGTTAATAATATTTAATATATTCATTAATGATTTTGCGATTACTTCCCACTAAAACAAATTTATTTGCAATTAAATTAGATCAATTTAAATAAGTTTTAATTTAAATTATAATTATTTTTATGATTCACTGTGATAAATATTATATATATATATCAGTTATTTTAATATATATATATTTATTAAAATAAACTGATTAATAAAAATTTTTACATAATTATATGTGACTCAAAATTATTAGATAAAATTGTTTTTTTATTTCACTAAAAAGCTCTCAACGACGAGTTAATTACATTAATATAAATTTATAAATATAATTCTGCTTTTAAATTAATACTAATAATAAAAATAATAAATTTCAGCTAATATTCAGAATATATATGAGTTACTAAAACTCTACAAATATATATAAATATATATAACATATAAATATAAAACAAAACTACTATTTTTGGTCTTAATTTTATGACTTAATTCAGTCGAGAATTTAACTGAAAAATTCTTAGAGCGCTTGAAAATCAATTGAAAAATCCAATTATGTTTATAGACTATGAAGTGCTCGGCTATAAAGGCATTGAATAAAAATATTATTATTATTATAACTACAATATATAATATGATGTTTTAAAGTGTATATTAAAAGTAATAAAACTTTATTTTTGTTTTTGTCTCACATTTTTTTTGCTGTTGTGTGTGGGCTAACACTTATCGGATGCAATAAAAATTCAAATGTTATTATAATAACATTTTTCACGGAAATAATAACACAAAAAGTGTATTAAAAAATATTTTCTCAATTGATTAAATGTTACATATATTTGACATTTAATGTTTCAAATATAATAATAACATTATTGATAGATATTTGATAAAAATAACTATTGTATTACAATTTTAAAGAAGTTATTTAAAAAATATAATAAATTCAATTTTCAAAATAGTATTAAATAAACTTTTATTTTATTTTTATTAATAATATATATCACAGAATATTATAAACAAATAAAAACAAATAAATTCATACAAAAGTTATTACCAAAAAATGTAAGTTAATATTAAAATTTATTAGTGTTTAAAATGATTATTAAATGAATTAAAAAGTATTTACAATTTTCAATAATGATATGTTTGTTTGTTTGAGTGAATAAATGAACAAAAAAATTATCGATTTAATTATATTTTTAAAAATCTTATCCATAAAAATTTAACAATAAACTTTCATATATCATTTAATTGACATATTTTTATATAATTTAAATATTTAATAATTTAATTATATTTTAATAATTTATATATATATATTGATAGATTATTAAAAAGTAAAGTTAAAACAATTGATTTATATACTGTATATATAAGGTAATTGATTGATAGATTTATTAAATAATTATTGTTACCTATTATATAAATACTAATCATAAATTATCAATTTATTTATGTTAGTATATTTTATACAATATTTTTAAAAAATTAATTTATGTTATAAATATAAAGTTGAGAATATTTATATTGTCATAAATATATATATAAATTAAATATATTTTAAATATTAATTGAATACTAATTGTAAAATTGATCTTAAAATTTTTGTTTTATAATAATCTATAAATAACAGATATTTACAGGAAAAAAAATCATTTCAAAATAAAGAGATTTTTCAAATATTGTGTTCAATATTTATTTTAATTTGATTGTAATTCATATGGATTGTAGTCTATAAATATATGTGTAATCTTCAAATAATAACAATTATTGCTTATACACACACATTATGTATTGATTACACAATATTTTTATATTTAAAGTTATAAATAGATATTATTAGACTGTATATATATACAGAAAAAAATAATGTTAAATATATACACAAATATAATTATTTCAAACAACAGATTGTGTGGTTATTAGTGAATTTGGTTATAATTACCGACAGTTTTAATAACAAAATAACCCACATATTGATGATTGAATTCAATGATGGCTATGAGGGTTATGAGGGTTAGTGATGATGTGGTGGCAGTGGTGATGATGTTGTTAATGGTCGGGAACGGGCTTTTGATAGCCCAGATTCTTGCGCTGTAAAAACAGACATATTTCATGGAAAGGTGGCCGTCTGTCCTCATTTGTATGCCAGCACTCGACCATCAGGTCGTAGATCTCTTTTGGACAATGATGTGGACGGGCCAGTATAAGGCTGTCCTCGTTTGGTTCGGTACTGTTGTTGATGATAATTGTGAGCAATTGTTGGTCAGATAGTTCATAGTGCGGCCGCGATTTACAATAGGTCAGTATCTCCCATAGTGTAGTACTGAAACTATAGACATCCGATTTGATAGTAAACTGGCCATCGATAATGGACTCTGGACTCATCCATCGGACAGGCATACCGTTGACATAGTCGGCCCGGTATTTGTCACGACAGGCTCCCGAATCGCTTATCTTAACCATCAGATTCTTAGCAAAAAAGATGATATTTCTGGCGCTTAGGTCTCGATGTGTTCGTCCCAATGTCTCCAAATAATTACAGCCTTTCGCTATCTCACTGGCCATATATACTAACGTTCCGTAACTAATGTTTAAAATTAAAAAAACAAAAAAAATAAATGGTTATAAGATTATTTAAAAATTAGTTATATCATTTAACAAAAACAAAATATTTGCTTAACAAAATATATATTATATATATATACTGTATATAATTAAGTGATAGCCAAAGCAAATGCAATGCAAAAGATAAGATACGCTATTTATAATTGATTTTAATTGAATTTTTTGCTATTTTTGGACATAAAATATCTTTTTATCATATCTGAGATTTTTTTTATACAGTATTATACCAATCGTTATCATTATTTGAGATCTTAGTTTAAATTTTTTTATATATTTATATTTATAGTGTTAATTTATTTGATAATTTTCAATATAACTTCATTTTTTTCATAATCAAGTTAAAGTGAAAAAAATTGTTTTCTATAAAATAGTCACATATAGTAAACAACCTGTTTATACAGGTTTTATATAATATTATATTTCAATATATTTAATTATGTCATTATAAAAGCAATCTAATATTTTAAATTTTAAATATCATGTTTTTAATAATACATTTAATATAAAAAAAAAAATTAAAAATAATAACTAAATACAAAACATAAATGTTTTTTTTATAAAATAATTTCTTTCTAAATGCTTTTACTTATTATTAATATTTTGTTTTTATTTTATTATTTTTATTGTTTGTACAATTTTCCTGATCATATATTTTGCAAAATATCATATTTTACATTTGGACAGGTTTTATAAATATAAATAAAAACAAATCTTTATAATAATAATAATAAATCTTTGCTATAATTTAAATAAAAAAGTTTTTGTTTGTTTGTTGAGTTAAATTATCTTATATTATAAATAAAATCCTATTTTTATTTTTTATATAAATTGTTTAAATAACCATTTGTTTAAAGTTATAATTTTATTGTAAAGTATATTATTTTATTTCAAAATCAATTGTCAAAATATTTTATAAAATAACTAAACATAATAGTGTATAATAGTCATGAAATCAAATATAATAATAACCATATGGTGTATCCAAAAAAATAACATATTATACACTAATATGAGTTTATTGTAATAACCAATTTGTTGATCAAATACATTATTAATTGCTTTTGAATTGTTAGCCAATCATGAAATGCTAAATTCATATATTATAAATAAATTTATTTATATATATATAATCAATGGCTTACGCATCACGATAACGGATTTCAAGACAACATATAATTTTAGTTTTTGAGTTCAAAATTATATCCAAATTTTTATCCAAATTATTAAAATTAAATTTTCAAAAGTACTCTATTTGAATATCGTTTAAGGTTTAAAATTTTGTTTATTTAAATAAAGTATAGTTTTTTTAATTTTGTTGAAAATAATTATGTATATTTATTTTAATATAGGAATTATAAAATTTTAATATTTCAATTTTGTTGTTGTAAATATTTAATATAATATATATATATATATATATATATATATATTTCTATAGCGCAGAATTTACTGTATATAAAAATTTGATTAAATTTATAGTATTTATATGATATTTATATAAATATATTTCCATTTCTTTTATTATATCATAATAAGTCTCATATATATAATAAAAGTAGATGTTTGCACAAATAAATTCTCTTTAAATTAAAAATATAACTTAACATCAAATAAAATGCTTTTTGATAAAAACCGATTTCAATCAACTTTATATATGAAGAGTATATTATACAATATGTATAATATTACTCAATAGAAAAGATAATTAATTTGTTAAAAAATATTTTGTACTTAACTATAAAATATTAGTCTCTCTCTCTCTCTCTCTCTCTCTCTCTCTCTCTCTCTCTCTCTCTCTCTCTCTCTCTTACTCTCTCTCTTACAAATAAACTAAAGTATAAATTTAAAACATTTTTAGATACAAAACGTAGACAAGTTTAATCCAAAAAAGATTTACTAGTATTATTTCATTTAGCCTAAAATTAATTAGTTATACTGTATATATTGTACAGTATATACTCAAATTATAATAATTAATTTAAATTAAGTTGAAATAATTTTAGATTTTAAAATACAATTTATTATAATTAAATATATAAATATTATTTTAAAAAATTTGCAATTTGCAAAATATTGAATTGTTTTGAAATACATAACAATTAAATATTTTGCAAATGATATCAGAGTTAGTTAGGAAACCATCTAAAAAATCACTGTATAATATATATTTGTTTTCAAGTATATCAAACAATATTGAGATTAGATATGTTTGATTGAAAGTCACTAAATTAATATTTGCGTGTTATATATCATTAACAAACACACACACAAAAACATAGACAAGTTTGTCTGTATTTAATAAGCAATTGAGAAAAATTAAAACTTATTAAAATATGTTATATGATATATCATAAGCAACATATTAAGAGAGGAAACCGTAGTTTCAATCATAGTATATGATAAGTATGTGATATAATATTAATATATATTAGCATTAATTTAAATTCAAATACATTAGAAATAATAAGACAAAAATACAGTATAATGTATTGCTTATCATATCATTGAATGCATTAGTAGTGTTGCATACATGTGTGCACTAGTTTTCATATACACTATATTAAGATATATATAAACTTTTATATAAATTAATATAATTCCAACTCTAATTTAAATGCAATTCTCAATTTAATTATACAAATATATGGATAGCATGAGAGTTAAAGTAAATTGCATTATCTCTCATAAGTTTTATAATATAGAGACAAATTCAATCTTTGAAAACATTTGAAATAAAATTTATTTCTCTAACATTTTTTTTCTTATTTCTCTCTCAACCTCTCATATCGTTTTTCTAAATCACGATATTTATTATATATATATTTATAGTATGTTTGTGTGTGTGTGTGTGTGTGTGTGTGAGAGAGAGAGAGAGAGAGAGAGAGAGAGAGCTGTGAATAATTTGTCTGATAATATTATGTATACTCTATGTGTGTCTATATCTAACAAATAAAATATTGCAAAAGTAATTCACAAATTTTTTGCTTTAATTAATTCAAAAAATATATTATAATGTATATAGAAATACACAGAATATTATTAATACATTTCCCTTTTGTGATAAGTTTTATCAGTAAATATAAAACTTTAGTTTTAAAGAAAAAAATAATAATAAGTTTACAGTATTTACAAACATATTTTAAAACTCAATATTCAGATAAAAAATAAAGTAATAGTTATTTTTTTGTTAAATAAAATATTTTTAAAACTAAAATTGTTTTAGTTTTTTGTTTAACAAAACAAAATAAAAATAAAGATTTTCTTAATAATACTATATATAACTTATAGTGAATATATTGATTGATTATATTGGCTGCCATTAACAAACTTTAGCGTTTCAAACAGTTATATATTATAAACAGTATATTTATAGTACCTAACAGTTTGAGCACTAAATGAAATGAAAAAAATTGTATCTCAAGTTTTAATCATTTAAATAGTCGACATAATATATCTTATAAATAATCAAACTCTCAAATCAGGATCTATTACCACTACTACTACCACTACTAAAGTCTCTCTCTCTCTCTCTCTCTCTCTCTCTCTCTCTCTTTAGTTGTACTCAAAACTCATGGATGTCTTATTCATTCAATTCATGCATGAAATAAATAATGTGAACCAATACAGTATATATATATATATATATATATATATATATATATAATATATAAAGTTATATACATATAAAAAAGGCACCGTTAGTTAGTTTTTGTATTAGATGTGTTCACAAAAAATAAATGCTTTAGTTTAATCTCAAACTCGAAAAAAACCATTTTTATAATACCAGAGCCACCGATAGTATTTGGAAAACCAGGGGTTGTGTTATATACTGTACATATAGTATAAGATTATGATTGCCGTTGAATATCCAAACAAATAACTTCAATGTTTAAGACATACAGTATATATATATGAATAACAATGGATAAAATTTAGAGTATAACATAAAAATTATTTTTTTAAAAAGGATATTTTAAATATAATATTTATTAAAATCATATATTGTTTATTTGCATGTATAGAGAGACCTTGGTAATTTTGCATTTTTTGCACTGAGTGTCAATCTCTCATTTATTATAATAAATAATAATTTCTATCTTCAGGACATTAATCACTGACAACAGCCCTTTATTGTCAATCATAGTCTATACAGTACTCCTATGTCTTAATTTTTGGTTGTATTAATAATACAATATCATAGACTATTGTATAATAATATCTAATATATAATATATATAAAACTCTCGATAACTGAGTGCTTATATATAAAGTTAAGTATATAATGAAAATAATTTAATGTTTAAACAAAAAACACAACAACAATAACAACAAAACACATAGCCTTGCATTCAATTTATTGATTGTATCACTAAAAATGAGATAACATTTTCATATTTACTTTGCTTTTATGTTTGACTAATGAGATTGAATGTTGATTTTCATTGATTTTATATATATAGTTTCAACTCCTCACTGTTGCCTTCAATTCAATTAAAAATTATTAAAAAAGTAAATAATTTGAATAAAATTTTTTTTAAAAAAAATTGTTTAAATAAAGAATCAAATAAAATATATAATTTTATAAAAATAAAAAACATTTATATAACATATTTAATAAAAATATATTTGTAAGTTTATATAACACTATATAGTGTCATAAATTTAAAAATCCTATATGATAAACTATTATAAATAATATTGTTTTTTTAATAATAATAATAATAATAATAATAAAGAGAGTAATAAATTTTTGCTTATATTTTAATTTATTTAAAACAAAACAACACAAAATGTTTAATATATTATAATAATAAATATAATAAAATGATTTAATTTACGACAGAGAAAATAACAGTGATTTTTATGTGTCATTTATGTTAGTGCGATGAGAGACTGCTTTCATTAATACTATTTATTTGTCGTTTCAAATCCCATATAAACAGATTTATAAGCAATAAATTTATTAATAATTTATGAAATATTTGCTTATATAATATATATAATAATATACTATATTTACTGTATAATAAATAAATATATTGTATAAATTATAAATACAATACACAATACTAACACATCATTACTATTATTATAATCACTAACTAATCTCTCTCTCTCTCTCTCTCTCTCTCTCTCTCTCTCTCTCTCTCTCTCTCTCTCTCTCTATTCATAAATATAAAAATGTCATTTATTTATTGCTTTTCAAATGTAACATATTTTTACTAATACACGTATAATGTATAATAAATATATATGACAAACAGTTAATACTGTATATCCCTATTTAAACATGAAGTCTATACTGTATATAATGTATATATTTCTAAAAATATATATAATTTAATTTGTATATCATCTAAATAATCGGTTGTTGTGTTGTTTTAATAAAATTAATAAAATATCTCATTGAAAAAATTATGTGTATAATAAATGTTTTATAAACATTATAAAAACCCATAAAATTGTTGATTATTTCTCACAAATAAAAATAATATTTATTTATATTAACGCCTTTGCAACCAATTATGGGAAACCAAACGGTTATTTCACACCAATTTTTACACTAACAGATGAATAATATTATCACTAAATACCAGTATTTATATATATATAATATATAGTAAATGTAATAAAAAAAAGTTTTATTATTTTTTAGTTTTATTGAATTGAATCAAATTGTCGCCCAATTTTTAATGGCTTTTATATGTCATTTTAAAAGTAACATTATATGTAAACATTATATAATATGTTTGTATGTTTGTGTTGTATTTTTTTATACTTTTATTTGATTGGTCATAAAAATCATTGCCATCATTATTACATATTATTATTATTATTATTATGTGATTTTCAGTGTTCAAAGAGTGGAAAGTGTTTTTGAAAACAAAATGAAAATAAAAAATATATATATAAAAAATAAAATCAAAATATAAATAAAAACATAAGATGTGATTATAATAGACATATAAATACTGTATATATATATTTATACATACATTTATGATTGTCTCATAAGCTTTTTAAAAGATAAATAATATTTTTCCTGTCCTTTTAACTGACACATTGTTTTGCTTTATCATTTCAAAATTGCTTTTTCAAAAAAATAAAATAAACTTTAATTATATTTAATGACAATATTTTTTCTACTGTTTATGTGTCGCTATTATTGTCATACCTTTAAGCACTTATATAATATTAGTACTGTTTTTAGTACTACAAACTCTTTAACATTAAGGCAATTATTATTATATTTTTTATATCATCTCTCTTTCTCTCTCTCTCTCTCTCTCTCTCTCTCTCTCTCTCTCTCTCTCTCTCTCTCTCTCTCTCGTGTGAGGGGTTGTTGTGTCTGATTGTGAAACAGAGATTATGGTCTCAAAAAACGAGAGATTGTTATGTTATGTCATAGTTATTAGTAGTATTGTTACCACTATTTTATAGTTATGATAATATAATGTTAGATAATAAAAAAAATTAAAAAATAAAATAAAGTATATCAATGTTATGGTGAAAACGTTTGGCAAATGATAGCAATATATGTACAGCAAATATCATGCGATATGAAAGTTAAAGTAGAAAAAAATATAACCAAAAAAAAAATTATAGATTCTGTAGAAACTCATAAAATATTATACATTGTATATAAATATTAATAGTTTCATATATTTTATAATAATAATAACAACAACAAGAGATAGTTAATTAACATAATTAGTTAGTTTCCGCTTAACAATCCCTTTTAAAAACAATTATTGCCTTAACTTTTGATATGCCTCTATGAGCGACAGTACAGTTGTACTGGTTTGTTATGCCCATCAAATTAGAAATTTTTGTTTTTTTTGTGTTAAATATAGTATTTAATAATAAATACAGTATTATAAAACTTTTATTTAGCAAAATCTATTTATCTTTAGATTTAATAATAATAAACAAATTGTCAGAAAAATGAATAAAAGAGTTTAATTATTTGTCATTAATTGGAGTCAAACGTCTACTTAATTAAAGCTCTGTTTTATTAATGAGTTAAACGATTTCTACTAAAAAATAATGAGACAATTTGTGCCATAAATTGTTGAGGAAAGGCATAAAGGCATTGACGGCAGAGACAGATTGCCAGAGAGAGAGAGAGAGAGAGAGAGAGTTTTAAAAAATAATTTACTAGTAAACTAGTATCTCGTTTGTATGAAAACATGATGAGGACAGGGATATGTGTGCGCGATAAGGGTATATCAATCCTATAAATAGATTATCAGTACTCACGTGATGACACTTGGATCACATTCCCTCAAGAACTCGTTGAGATCGCAATCTCCCTGTTCTAAGATCATCGCCAAGCAGTCACTCGTATCCAATACGCCAAACATTTTGGCAAATTTATCACAATTTTGAGATAATTGACACAATAGTCGCATCTCATCCATAAACTCCTGTTTGAGATGCAAATGATTCAGTGACTTAACTATAGCATTGTCTTTGTTCTGATAAATGCCGTCCACTTTGGCGTAGAGGACGTCACCAAATCGGGAATTCCCGATCTTTTCGAAAACAAACACATCATTCGGATGAAAGCACTTGATCTGATTGATGGCGTCCGCCGTCGTTGACGAGCCATTCCTTACGTGATTATTGGACATAAATGTGGTCAACAGCGGTGTCTGCTGTGAGGAATAGTTGGCCGATTCGTAGTGATTAAGGATCGGCTGTTGTTGTTGATGTTTAGAGTAATTATTATCACTTATATTATGTTTTTTAATGATCTCAGCGGAAGCATAATATCTGGGATTTGTTTTAATAGTTTTGTTTGATGTCATCGACAGTGTCTTACTCTTGCCGTTAGCACAGATCACGTCCGGCACCGCATACTCGGCCTCCTCTTCAGTTGGCGACAAATCTTTCGGTTCGCAATACAATAAGGTCTGAGGACTTGTAATCTTCGGAATGTCCTTCAGGTTAACCGTTTGATTCTCCGATTCGATATCTGTGTCAGAGATCTCTCGAAATACGCCACCTTTTCTGCTCTGATAGGCCTTCATCATGAAAGATGAGACGACCATCAATACTACTACTCCTAATGTCACTAATGTAATGATGAGTAATGAAAACTTCATAGTCGTCTGATCAAAGTCCTGAGTGGCCATTGGAGACAATGAGTTATTATTGACACTAAAATTGCTGATCAATCCTAAGTTGTCCTCAAAATCAAACAATTCACTGATGTTTGCACTCGTGTTGAACAGGGATTGCGAATCAAATGATATTTCGCTAATGTGTAGCCATTGGGCACCAAAAGTCAAACTCATTTTGACATACCGTCCGATCCTATATTGCAAATGTATTATCACATCTGCAAATAAATCAATTGTTAGTTTTCTTTTTGTTTAGTATTATTGCTGCTATTTGTTGTTGTTATCATCAGTTAATAAACAATAAACAGTATATATGTGACTGACTGACTAACAAAATGAGAATATAATTTAAGTGGGCATCAAATTGGGAACGGGAGGTAAATAGAAATTAACAGTATATACAATATAATATTATAGTATTATTGATATATTATATAACTGATCAATGGAAATACCATTAGCTAACTATTCAATGGGTAATCAATCAAAAGAAAATCAAATTAACTTTTCGACACATACTGTATATATAAACTACAAACTACTGTATAATAATAATAATAATAATCTTAAATAAACTGATTTCTTAAGGTTTTCCTTCACTCACTAACCTCTAGGTCTTTGCAATGTATTGTCCGCCTGATAGGTGTACTTAATGGGAACTGTCGACCATTTGATGCCATCAATGCTGAACCAAATCTGTGCACTTGAGAAGACTCGGACATCTCTTGAAAAGCTGTTGTGACAGTTAATGCTTGTTGTGGTAAAGTTATGAACACTGGGAAAGTCAAAGACAATCTCGACGTTGTCTTTATTGATACTCTTTTGCCAACCGATCCATTCAAAGCCTTTATTGATTTTATAATTATCGAGTCCTTTAATACCATCGACCAGTTGACCCAAACCGTCATTTAGTTGTCCAGATTGGCTACGATGGCCGTCATATGTTTTGTCCATTAAATCGCCGAAACGACTGGTTTTTTCTCCCTGTGCCATCGAGTAGGATACCGGTCCTAAACAATCATATATAACAAATCATTATATAATACCCTCAATATATGATTACAGTGTCATTTCACAAGTAATGGCTATCAATTTGGCTATAAATAGCGTTAACAATTGCAAAGGCTATTCAAGAAGTGGTTGTGTTGTGTTGTGTGTGTTAATAGACTTAAGTATTGAATTCCCGTGAATTGCACTCAACTATCGATATATAATTCAACGACTAATCAATCTTTTTTGTTGTCCTTTTGTTTCACAGATAAGATATATAGGAATTCCTTAGCGTTTATAAACACCGACTCTTAAGCCATTCTCTCTCTCTCTTTCTTTCTTTCTTTCATACTATAAGATTAAGTCTCAATAATAAAGTATACCTTAAAAACTGTTATATATTTTATAAGAAACTAGTATTTTCTATTATTATAATAGTTTTTATTTTATATTTTGATTCCAACAAAAAAATCGTTTTTATATTTTACTTTTGTGTGTATTTTATTTTTTTTATGTCCAATAGAGAAAAAACCTTTTTTCAAAATCTAAAGGTAAAGCATTACAAAAATCAAACTCTAAATAATGAATTTATATATATATATTGAGTAATGAAAATAATGTCATATGAAATGAAAAGTGTTTTAAATGTATATAAAAAAGAGATTATTGTTTTGTTAAGAAATACGTTAAAAGGCTTTTTTTGTATTTTAATTAAATTATTTTTAGTTTTACTCTAGTTTTTTGTTTCAAATGTTAAACAAAAATTTCTTTTATATCTATTGTATCCATCAGAGTGTATACTAAATTTTCTTTACTTTTAACACTAAATATTTGATTTTTTAGTTAACAATAATAATATCATAATAAAGATGAAAATACTCGCACAATATATTGTCAATAAGTATAATAATAACTAATAATATACTGTATATAAGCCATTGAAATACTAAAATAGTTTAATTTATATTATAAAACACATCTAATATTTAATATTATTTGTTGTTAGTTCTGGTTTTGACATCAAAAGCAATAGTGTTTTTCAGTTTTATTATTAAGCTTTTATTTTTCAGATATTTTCAATGGAAGTAATGTTTTTTTTGTAAGTAATTTTACACAAAATAATATACATTATATATAGAGTAGAGTATATACTGAAAATAATATTGAATTTGACTTAAAAATAGCAAAACATTTTTTTCATTTAATAAAATATAGCAAATCTTTTTCAACTTAAATATTTATCATAAATATAAAAACTAAAAAAAACAACAACAGGATAGACGTTTATTTTATATATGTAAAAATACTTTATATACAATACATACAGTATATACTGTATATTCATAGTAAAGTGAGTGAGAGAGAGAGAGAGAGAAAAAAATAAAACTCTTGAAAACTTGAATCTTAAATATTTTAACAACACATTTGTTTGCTTTTCCCATCAAAAATATAGTTGACTTTTATATAAATATCATGTAACTGTGTTTATCTCACGTATTGAGACACAAAACTTATAGTATATATATATCACAATTTTATTTATACTAAATATATATACAGTATATACTGTATATACATAGTCTATGTGCAACAAATTGCATGATTTCTCTCCCAATACTTAGAAAATGTCATTGAATTGGAAATATAAATGTAATCGATTTTACTGTTGATTGATTCAAATAAGAGATAACTTTATTATTATTATTATATTGTATAATATCGAAAGTAATTGAAGTCAAAAATTAATAATTTTTTCACATATACAGTATATTATTTTATTTATTTTTTTTTAAATTAAATGCAAAGTTTAATATTTTTTAAATATCCAATAAAATGTCTCTAAGGTCTCTAACCTCTATCACATCTACAGTAATATTACTATTAGTATAATAAAACTCGTAAAAATTTTAAATTTCTAGTTTATTTTTTTAATATATAAATAAACTGATAATTAACAAATCCTAACTTAATGACATAAACATCAATATTAGTCGACAATAATTATAATGAGTTAAATGCAATAGAAATATTCATAAATTCACTTTTAAAATCTAGATTTAGATGTATTACAACATAACACTAATTAAGTGAATCACTGGGCTTAAGATATGCCTATAATTTAAAAATCTACTCAATTGAGTGCTCTATTAATGTTGATATATATATAATATAATTGATTGAATAATGTTGTGCATAATTATTAGTCACTAAACATAATTTAATTTTTTTATTTATACAGTATAATGAAGTTTACTAAATTAATAATTTTTAAAGTTTTATTAAAAATTATGCATAATTTTGATTTTTATGCTACACTTAACTTTTTCTAAAAATCCCTAATAGGGTATTTGTATTAATACTCTTATTATACTGTATACCGGTATATAAAGTACTGTAAATGTTGTGCACAAATAATATTAACGTTTACTTATAGTTTATCTATAAGTTTTTATTTTAGATATAATTTTAGTCGATATTAATTGGATATCATTAATATATATATAAATGTGGGGAAAATATCAGTTTTCTGGTCTCAAGAATTTAAAATTAATGATAACTTTTTTTCTTTCTCATCTCTCTTTCTCATCTCTCTCTCTCTCTCTCTCTCTTTGGGTTTAATTTATTTAAATTAAATGCTATTTAAAAATAAAAATTGAGTTTAATTTGGAGGTCAAACAAGCGGAATGAAAAATTAAGAAAAAAAACTGAGATATACTCTGAGGTAATGATATCAACAAATGGTTACATGAAATCAATATCAAGTATAATAAATGTAATGCATTTGTTGTTTTGATTTCATAGGAGTAGAGCCTAGAGATTGAAGTAGTAGTAGTAGTAGTGATGGTTGTGTTGTGTACTGTAGTCCTCACAGACTGTTATTTATCAAGTGATGTATATATCAAGTGCTTCACTAAAGTGAATGGGAAACGAAAAACTCAATTAAACGGCTTTTATATATATATTTATATATTAAATAAATTATATACGAAATAAATTTTCATTTTAAGAACTAGTATTTTGATTAGATTTTCAAAAAAATATTTTCCCGAAATTAATACACATTAATGTTTAAAACACCAAATATATAGCTATTTTTCTTTAGCTATTTATATACCGTCGACTTGATATCAATTAAAAAAATGTTTACAAGTCATGCAATTCATTTGTGTGTAAAAACATATATATATATATACTGTATATATTGTATATATAAAATAATTGGATATAAATTTATAAGTATATTAAACACATCATTATAATTATTATTAGTATGAAACAAAAATCACAGTCATTATAAACGGCTAACAAAAATCTTATTTTATTATTACTATTAAGTGTTTTGTTCATTGAATTAAAAAAGTTAATTATTAATTAATTTGAAATAAATAAAAAAACACGACATACCATCATATAGACAGCCATACAATTCAAATCTCAAACAAACTGTCCTCAAATGTTTGGAGTATGGATAGAGTCGGATACGATTTATGTCAACTATTGGTAGATCCAAGTCGTGCTCCACTACCGACAGTGTGTCCACATTTCCCTCCAATAGCTATTGAAATAATAAAAAATAATAATATGATATAATATATAAATAAAATAATAATTCACAAAACAGTATTTAATATTCATTGTTATTGATAGCTAATAGATAAATTCATGTAACACAAAAAATGACCTGCAATAAAATCAAGCAATAAAAAATAGCAATATTTATACGGTATTTATTACACACAGAGAAATAGGTATATAAATACAGTACACACACACACACACACACACACACACACACACATTATTTGTGAGTTATTTACTAAAAAATTGATATAAAATACCTAATAATAATTTATAATAAAAATACTGTACAGTATAAACCTTGGTTTTCATTTTTATACGATATATTACAGTTATATACAGTAGTAACTCATATGGGAACAGGTATTTTTTTCCTACTTATAACCCTAATAACATTATTATGTGATATAATAATTTATAACCTAACATATATATATATATATGGTATATATATAGAAAGACAAAATATTTTTATTACGGTTTTGCGGCAGTAATAATAATAATAATAATGGATATAAATTTTGATGAGAAATGGATGTTACGTCCGATTGTTAAGGAAATATCGATTCATGAAATACTATTGAAAAACATAACATTCACTAAAATATTATTATTGATAATAATAACATGACTACCACTTAAACCAATTTTGATTAACAATAAGATATAACTAAACATACATATTATTTATTAATACATTTTTATATAGTATTATTATATTTATCTAATTTGTATAAAAGATAAATAATAATAATAATAATATGCTCTGAATTGTTTTTGACACAATGTTAAGAAATATTTGTTTATAAAACAATAAGTAATAATAATAATAAAAATGTAATAAATAATTTTATTTATTAATATTTATTAATGATTATTGTTTTTAATAAGTCAAATGTATTTTATTGTATATAATAAAAATTTTAACCTATACAAGTCAATCTATTATTATTATGGATACTATATAATTAATTATTTAATTTTATTAGTATTTTGTGTCTATGAATAATGTGTTTATATCAAAATTCAACATTTTTTTCTTCTATATATGTTTAATGTGTTTGTGTCATAAATAAAGATAATGAAAAATAATAATAATATGAGACTTTAAACATTTATTATATAATATTTATTTCTTAATGTTATAGATATTTCATTTTTGAAAAATAAATTATATTTGAAAAATAAAATTTTTAATATTTAGCATAGTCATTGTAAGGCATAGACAATATAATGTTAAAATTTATATATCTTTTTTATATATATAATATAAGACAATTAATAATATTTTTATTAATAATTGCCTCAACTAAAGCAATCGATAAGTGGAAACAACAACACAATAAAATTAAGCCATAACTTTAATATAATAAATGAGTAAAAATAAAAAATTTATTATATTAATGTCTCAATAAAAAGCAATAATTGGTTATATTATGAGAGTTCGTGTGTGTGTGTGTGTGTGTGTGTGTGTGTGTGTGTGTGTGTGTGTGTGTGTGTGTGTGTGTGTGTGTGTGTGTGTGTGTGTGTGTGTGTGTGTGTGTGTGTGTGTGTGTGTGTGTGTGTGTGTGTTATAGTTGTGATGGACACCATTGAAGAGGAGAAAACCTATCAACTAAGTTATGATCATTAGTTCAATGAGAGACTAAACATATGGTAGTCATTCAATGATGACTAACCCATTGTATGTCTCGACAATTGTCTGTATATATATATATAAGGTAATCACAACAATAGCTGTCATGGTTTTAATGAATTTTCAAAGTTAATTTTCTTAAAAACTAAAGACAATTAAATACTAAAATTTTCTCTATCATCTTCAATAATTATTACGCAATGTATATAGAAATTATTATTTTTATTTTTAAAGTATTTCTTAACTTATTTAGCAAAAAAAGAAATTAAGTCATTTTTGACATAACCTTAAATTATTTATTTTAAATAGACTAGACATTTTTTTATAATTAAAATTAAAGGATATTTTGCTAGTATATTAACAGGGTTATATAGTGAATAAACAATAATTTTTTATCCCAACTCTTTCAACTATTTTTTTAATCATTTAGTAACACATTTTAAAATAATATTGTGATAAAAGATTATTTGAATTATTTTTTATTAAAACATCACTAAATTTTATCAAATCATTTATAGATTAATGCATTAAATGTTAATTTATATAATAATTATTAAACTGATAAATATTTTTAATTTTTTAATAAATTATTTTATAAATATTGCAATTTACTAAAATTTGATGATTAATTGCCAAAATTTTATAATTATAATTAACTTAGATATTTTATTTTTTATTAATCATATTTAGAGACTCATAGAATTATATTTTATACAAAAAATCTATTTTATCTTACTTCAAGACTAAGTTATAAATAAAATTAAAAAATATTTCATTTTATTCAGCTTATAACAAAAAGTTATTATTTAATTTATAAGTATTTTTTACTAATTTATGATAAATAATCTAAAACAATGTTATAATAGATGATGAATATATTGTTTAATAGAGGACATAAAAAATTTGATTTTTAACTTTTATTTAAAACTTAATTATCGCTTAACATTTATCTCATCTTATTGACTAATAATCGTCTTTAAAGCTTTAATTAAATCTTATTAATTTTTGATAATTTTTTTAAATAATCACTAAGGTAACCACTATAGAATTGTGGAATTAAAAATGATAATTTATGATGAAATCATATAAATAATAATTAAATTAAAAATTTATGATTTGTAAATTTTGGATCATATTTATTAAAATGGCCATTTTAACTTTAAAACAAATAATTTTAAAAATTTTAATTATAAAATTTAAAGACACATAACCATTTTATTTTAATAAAAAAGAATTGCATTTTTATCATTAACAGTAGCTTCACAGGAATAACTTAAAGTTGATACATTTCAGTGTGACAGAATTTTTTGTGGTTATCTTATATATCTAATCACTGGCAACTTTGAAAATGACAAAACAATACTACATGTCTAAAGTGGACATAAACTGATTGATTTATAATATTATATATCTATATGAATGAATGTCACTCATCAATAATATGTAACCCATATATGTTAACCTATAAATATATATAGTATACAGTTATATACAGCATATATTATATACATGAGATTGTTATCAACTGAATATAATAATTTGTCATTTATTTTAATAATATAGTAATACTTCATTTAATGGCTTTCCACTAACAATAAATCATTTATATGCATATTGATTGTCAATTATATATTTTTTATTACAAAATAATAATAATATACTAATGTTAAAGAATAGCAATGTTTTATTTAATTAAAAAAATGAGTCGACAATATACTGTATATATATATATACATACGTGTTGGCCATCAGTGGCTTTCCATTTGATCCAATTGGTCCCATTGTCTCGCGAGTATTCAATCCAATACTCTTCGACAAACTCGACACCATAACCGTTGCCATAGCGTCCTTGAGTGGCCACACCGGTCACTATATGCTGGTCCGGGAGGTATACTTCGATCCATTCCTGACCCGAATTATCGGTACTGAGCTGTGTGTGCGGACACCAGGCGCCGCCCGATTTCTCATTATTGAACCTATAAATTGCATAAATTATTATATAATTGTATATATGATATAATTATGAAACTTATTATATTTTAGAAAAAATAGTTTTTTGTATGTTGTTTGCAAAAATATGTGCATTCAATAACCAGAAATAATAATAATAATAACAATAGTAAATACCAATTATAATCAGTTGTCATAAAAAATAGCAAACCTAAGCATTTCTAAGCACTTTGACTACATTTTTCTACTAAAATAAAATAGTTTTCCCATATTATCACTTTTTTTTGTTGCACTGTTACCAGAGTTTTATCATATAATTTGAAACTCATTGCCAAAGCAAAAATGCAGTCAAAACTATATTTGCATTATATTATAATCACTAATACAATGACTTTACAAATATATTTGTGAGTCAAATGTTATATTGTTGTTATATTATATATGGCGTTGAAGTTTTTTTTGTGTGCCGGATAATTAACCGGTACCTACAATATAGATACAGACACACAATAAGGTTCAGTCATTATGCGAGACATATACGCAAAACACAATCAAATATATCAGAGACCCTCACATACAACACATTTTAACAAAACTTTTTTTTGTCAGATTTTATGTAAAATTTCACTCTTTCTTTGTTTCTCTCTCTCTCTCTCTCTCTCTCTCTCTCTCTCTCTCTCTCTCTCTCTCTCTCTCTCTCTCACACACACACACACACACTATCGCTAATATGTTTTCATTATAATTGTTTGCATAATTGCCTTTTTTGTTCAACAAATTTATCGATTTTTTACTTAAAACATAATTCACTTTTCATTCTCTCTCTCTCTCTCTCTCTCTCTCTCTCTCTCTCTCTCTGTTCCCCTTATTTTGTAGACATTTTAATTAATGAATGTCATGTTTGCGTTATTTTAAGCATAAATAAAATATATTTATTATTAAAAATATTTTTGCTATAAATTTTCAGTGTAAATAATATCTATCTTTTTCTATAAAATTTGTTACACTATTTGTTATTTACTCATTCAATTGAATAACTAATTTAGTCGTTACTATAAAGACAATGATAAATGACATTGAAATAAATGAACATATTTTTAATGTTAAAAATTTTTTTTAGTGTTTTTCATTTAGATTTTTATGTTTGGCAAAAGCAATCAATTGGCGATACAATGATAATAAACAACAACAGCCAAAAAAAAGTACACTTGACTTTAATTTAATAAAAATATTTTTATAAATTAAAAACAAAATAAAACTATTTTTTAAAAACAAAATATTTTGTTTTTCGTGTGTCACTCGTGTAAATCAACTATTGATTGTATACGGTTTGATTAGTAAATTATTATTTTCAAAAAATGATATATAACTATATATTCAGTATATATAGTATATGTTTAAAATAAATTAGTCTATCAAATGATTAAATCCAATCATTTGAATATTATTTTATTAAATTTATAATAACACAAAAGTGCTTCACATTTATAATTTATTGACAGGTGTTTGCTATCACTTCAGTTTAGTTATTTATTTATTATTTTTTTAAAAAAACGTTATTATCTAATGGGTATATAATAAAGCCTTAGTATTTTGTTATGAAACCTCCAAATGTTGTTTTAATGTTTGCACTGAAAAAAAATTAAAACTATTTTTTGTGTGATAATCAAACACACGTAACACGTAAGTTGGGGTTAATTTCAAATATATATATACAGTATATATATCTATATAAATATATATATATATATATATATATATATATATAGTTGGATATAATCATGCAATTAAAAAATAAATTTCAGATGCTATCGTTTTGCGTTAATATTTTTTTTATTTAGGGAAATAAAATTGTTGAATTTATATATATGGTATAAATTAATAATTAGTTTGTAAAAAATAGAAATATTATGTGGATATCTATATGAAACACGTTTCCCAATTTTTTTGTTGTCAATTATTTTTATCAAACAACATTTAAATTCAATTAATTTTATATTAATTTTTTGTTTGTTTTTAAAATTTTCTATTCATATTTTTTTGTTGTTGTTATAGATTTCATTTAGAAAAATTTCTATATTAATGTAAAACTTTTATCTTATTTAGATCACTTAGTGAACAATTTTATTTAAAAAAATTATTATTTAAATTCATTAATTAGTAAATTAAGATCTTTTCTAAATTAATAATTAAAAAACAAAATATCGTTTTAAAACACACCTTGAAATTATTTAATTAAAGTTTTTTGTATTAAAAAAATAAAACTATACTTTTAATTAATATTGCAATTTTAAAACTTATTATTTTTTAATTAATTAAAATAATTCAGATATGGATTATATTATAATACATTAAGTAAAGTTGAATACAATTTTATATGATTTCAACTTAATTGACGACAATATGTATGGCGTGTATAACACATTTGTATGCTGTCTGTCACCAGAAAACATATATGAATACAACAATTCATTGTATAATATGTAAAGTGCAGATAAAATCCATTTGCCTGATTGTTGTATAGCTTAATAAAATTGTACACAAAATATATATGAATAATATATACCGGAATATATATATATAAGTGTGTAATGTGTATAATATATATAATATATACGGTATATGATATATACATTTGAGATAAAACTAATTTAAATTCATTGAATAGTTATCTGCTATTTTACTCATTTCTCTTTCTTTTTAAAAATCCTATAGAAGTAAACGTTTCAATATATTTATATATATAATGCTTTTATGTTTAATATATTCAGTTTAAGTGAAAAATAAGAGAGAATTTAAGATATATTTCTATTCTTTTTTTCTAATGTATAATAATAATAATGGATAGCAATGTATTGTAATGTAAAAACGTTTATAAAACATTACAGAAACTTATATATGTGTGTATAAATCCAATAAGTATTATAATACATGAAAAAACGTTAGAGGCATACATAGACAAACACCTCATAAGAAATGCAATTTTTCATTTATTTGCCATTAATTTGTATATTTTTATTGCATAATTAGGCAAACATTTTATATATAATATATATATATACATACAGTAGTATACCTATAAAGATTGTCTTTTCACATGAATTATTCTGTAATTTCTTATAATAATATAATTTTATGCGACAATTAATTAGTGCTACAAATACTAAACCAAGAAATTTTTGTAATAATAATAATAAGCCATTCATAATAGATATTATATAAGCATTAAAATAAAATAATTTTGCATAAATTTATTAAATAATCGTGTGTTGGTTCAAATGTGTGAAAGAAAACAATGTATAAAAATTTAGTTTACAAAAATACATAATGTTTTTCTCTATATCCTTAACACTCAAAATAAAATCGATATTTATTTAGGCAAACAACTTGCAAACACACACACTATCATCACATTTATTCACAGTCTATATATATAATGATAAAATATTATATATACTTTATTTTTAAACGTATTGTTGTTGTAATACAATTTCAAAATACAGTAGTATTGGTGCCCAAACAGTTGTAAATGAATTTGCATCTGTTATGTCATACAGTTATACAAACTTTATATATATATATTATATTTATCTATCTGTCTGTCTGTCGGCGATAAATGCAATGTTTTTGAAGTGAATAATCATAATAAAAATGTTCAGTTGAGTTGAAAAATCATTTTCATTCAAATTTTTTTAGTAAATATATTTACAAAATACAATATACTGTATATATAGTGAAGAGATATAACGTATAAATATTTTAGACGTCTTTTTTGTTGGCATAAAAATTATGGTTTTGAAAAGATATGTGTATTGAAATATATAAAAATTTATTTATACTGTATTTTTGACTGACTTTATCTTATCAGTACTTTTTTCTTTCTTTCTCTCTCTCTCTCTCTCTCTCTCTCTCTCTCTCGAGAACTCACGAGAGAGAGAGAGAGAGAGAGAGAGAGAGAGAGAGAGAGAGAGAGAGAGAGAGAGAGAGAGAGAGAGAGAGCAATAGTTTCAAACTATTTTTTCCACTCAGATAGACCTCAATATTACTTAAAAGAAAAAAATATACTTAAATAACAGTTATATGTACTAAAAAATATGTGTCTGTATTACGTGTTTATCGATATTTCAGATCAAAAAATTGTTTTTATGACTATCATATTCACAGACAATAGAGTTATAGTATGTCTATTTATATATATATGTGTGTGTGTGAGTAAAGTGAGTTATATAATACAGTATAACAGTAACAACAACTATGTAAAGGGTATGCCATAAATTTGGTGATCATTTTGTTTGGGTTGTATTCACCAATAGATTCAGTTTAGTGATCGATAATAATATTGTTTGACTATATGTTGTTATTGTTGCTATTGTCTTGTGATTCAATTTTTATTGAAAGTCATTAAAGTTTTTGTTTTGTCAAACAAATCTCATAGATATATAACTCATAGATTTATTGAAATATTTATTTTTATACATATTTGACATTAGCATAGAAGAGATAAAACTCATGACAAAAAAAATGTTTTATATATTTATATTTTTTTTGTTACGTATTGAACGTAAATTTATTTTGTTTAACAAAACTAGACATACAATACAATAGTAAGTCTCGAGTCAAACAATAAAGTATTAGTTGAGAGATGGGCTCACAATTGTCTATCACTTGAGTAGAAGAAAAAAATGCTTTTTATTTTAGGTTCACATATGTATATAATTTATATAACATTTTTTCTTTAAATATTTTGCTTAAACAGAGATAATATCAGAAAGAAAGAAAAAAAGCTAAAAAAAAGTTTAAATTCAAATGCATTCAAATAAACGCATTAAAAGATTTTCATATACTCTCACTCACTATATATATGTATATTTAAATTTCTTTTACTATTATTTGCAAAACGTGTAGTCCTTTCTCTTTCATCGACAAACAACAGTAAAAATAGTTTAACAAATAAATAGGTTTATCTCTCTCTCTCTCTCTCTCTCTCTCTCTCTCTCTCTCTCTCTCTCTCTCTTTCTCTCTCTCTGTGTCTGTCTGTCTGTCTGTCTGTCTGTCTGTCTCTCTCTCTCTCTCTCACTTCTCTCTGCACTACAAAACAAATCCAAAAATATTATCCAAAAAAATTGAGTCTCCAAACAAAAAATATTTATATATAAATAAATATATACTATACTACGGTATACTAGTAGTATATAATAGCTTAAGAAACGTATACACAATAAAATGTAGGAAATAATCACAATCTCTGTGAATACACAATATGTTTTTTCTACAATAGTATCACTGTATGTATGTGTGTGTGTGTGTGTTTGTGTGTACTGTACATACAAATTGTATGATATAGATATTTTTTGTATGCATTTATAACAGTAAACATAGACAGACATAGACATAGACTATACGGTTATAATCAAAATCCATTGCCATAAATAATCCCTTAATTCAGACACAAAAAAATTATTAATGCCTTTTAATAGTGATATCCGCCTCTCATTTCTCAATCGCGTTTTATTCAGAATATTGTATTATTAAATATATTTATATATAAATATATAAAAAAAAGCTTTTTATTTTGGGATTATATTATATGTATTGTGATTATTGTGAGTCCCAAAATTAAAGTGTACTCCAATTTATATATAATGGGCAGTTAGTGAGCGGGTGAGTGGAGGATAAGGGAGTGAGTGTATGTGTATGAGCTATGAGTTAGAGTACTAATGATAGTTTTGTTAGCCTTTTTTCATATATAATATATTGTTATAATATATGATATTTTTGTAATATATTTTAAATGGTTTGCGGACTATTGTGCTTCTCATTAACGCTAAAATATATTTATTCCTGAGAGGAGTGTTAGCTTAGGGGACGAGTATCTCAATCACTAAATACTAAATGCATTGTTACATACCTGGCCATCAAACGTTACGTACATTTTTTATGTGATTCATAACTGTTATGGCTATGTATAGTCCCTACAATTACTTTTCTCTCTTTCTCTCTTTTTTTCTCTCTCTCTCCCCCTCACTCACTCACTCACTCACTCACTTAATGGCCATATTTGACCGCAAAAATGAAAAATATGTTAACATTTTTATGATTTGCTTAACCAAAACAATTGTAACGTTAATAATATTTTGCGTTTAGAGAGAAATAGGCAGCGAATTGCAATAAAAATGCAAAAATCGTATATTAATGACACAAATGATATGTCAGAAACATAGTTAAAATTAATGTTTTATACCGTCATAAATAAATAACTTAAATGTTTAAGCAATGTTAGGCCTAACCTTAACCTACGGTGTGCTTATGTAGGCATTACTTTACTCAAGAATATCTATAAACCAAATATATTTATACATATTGTTATTATATTGAAATGATAACCAATATTGATAGAGAATATACATTCTAAGTATATATAAATTTAATGTCTATAAATCTTAAGTCCAATATATGTAATACAATATTTATATACTTTAGTATTTATTTAATGAATAAGTGATAATATATGTATATTTTTATATAAACTGAAAGTATTTAATAATTAGTGTAAAGAGTGTTGTATATGATATACAACATATCAATCAAAATTGTTTAATATAAAATGATGTTTAGTTTTGGTCTTTAATAATGTTTTTACAAAATCTATTGCAATATTTTTTTTCTCGTCGATTACTAACATCTGATCTCCAATAATATTATTACTGTAACATTATATTTGCCAAATATTTAATAAATAAATACTTTAAGTCCATACAGTTTATTAAATACAGTTTACTGTTGCTTAATAATGTGAATGTGTGTATCAGTCACTACAATAGCTTAAAACTTATTAAACTTCATAATACTGTATATCACTTATAAACTGTATATACAGTACTGTATTTTATTTGTGTTGACTAATAACACTTTTGTATTAATATTATTATTATTAAAACTTATTGTATGCCATTAGTTAGTTAGTTATATAATATCTATAATGTGTTGCCAACTGATTATTCTGTAATTTTGTTTTTGAACCATACATTTGCAAACAATATTTATTCATGAGAGGAGTTTTTTTGTAAAGGGGATGAGTGTCACTATTGCTATATATATATATATTGTATATATATACATACCTGGCCAACTTTGAGCCGGTGCTCAGCTCATTGTAGGCTGAGCTGGAGGTGATGGCAGCATCAGGAATAACACCTGACTCCATGCCCAGTGCCGACACACCCTTAATATCGCATAACGTACTCCTTGTCTGTTCCTCTTTGGTCTCATTATCTGAAAAAAATTAAAATACAAAATTAAAATAAAATAATAACAGACTTATTATAAATGCTAAAAACAATTGGAATTAATTAGATACAAAAAAACATCAACAAAACAACAACAGAAAATTATTTGTAGTTATTTTAATGCAAACAAATGGTTAAACATATGCAAACTATAAAGTTTTTTTGGCTAACAAACAGCACACAAATTACACTTTGTGTTTATCATTATTATTATTATTATTACAAGAGATGTATGTTTTGATATGAATACCAAATTTTTATTACCTCAAAAAATAACTTTTACCCAAAAAAACAATTTTAAATTAAAATATTTTAATTATTTTTGAAACATAAAACAAAACAAAAGCAAATTTATTATTATTCATAGATTCAAAACATTTTGCTAAACACTTTAGTGTGTTTTGTTATATTATTATTATTATTATTAATATTATAAAATTTTTATACTCATTTTTCGATGTCAAAATATAAATCAAATTTAATTAATCATTGGAGTTTTAATGGTGGGATTTTTATAGTATAATTTGTTTTAATTAAATAATAATAATAATATTGTTTTTATTTTCGGAAAGAAAATTGTGTTTTGAATAATTTATTTTTTTCGTTGTTTATGCAATAAATTTTTTAATATATAATTCTGTAGTTTAGATAATAATAATAATAATAATAATAATAATAATAATAACATATATACACTATTTATTATAGAAATATATATGTATATATTAAACAATAAAATATATGTATATTAAAAATAAAATAATAAAAATATTATTATTAAGTTTATTATAAAATATGTTTTCTTATTATTATTATTAATATTATTATATTAATGCTATTTATTATACCACCTATAAAAAGTGTGTACATATTTAATATGTATTGTATTAAATTATATTAGAGTAGAGTTAGAAAAAACAGTGTTATCTATTCGTGATTCACGTTTTACTAATTATTATTATATAGAAATGTATATACAATATAAAAGATAAAACCATATATGACTATAAAATGCATGTATAAAATGTTGAGACAAAAATAGTAGATTATTAATACTGACTGACTGAGGGAGCAATGAATTTATTGTATAATTATTATTAGCAGCAAATCGGGTCATCGCTAAAGAAAAAAATTATACAATGAATTAAAAGGGTATTTAAGACAATCGTCTCTTTAGTTAACATTTTTTTCTCTCTCTCTTAATATATACTGTACTTCATCTCTAATAACTTGATTTATTTTATCCGCAATTTCTTAAGTTTTTATGTTTTTTTTTATTTTTGAAGGATTATTTAAATTATTTATATAATACACATTTAAATACTTATGAATAAAATCGAGTTTTAAAAAAATGTGAGTATATGTCGGGTTGTGTGTGTGTGTGTGTGTGTGTGTGTGTCTGTCTGTATGGGGAACAGTATGTCTTGAGCTCTCTGAGTGTCGAAAGGAAATTTACTATAAGATTAAGTAGGCTTACAGAGAGCACTCATTTATCTAATTAGATGTTTATATGAGAGTTCACTCTTGAGTTTTTTTTGTATATGTTGTCTTCGCAAACAATAGTTATGATAGACATGTATGCACTACACATACTAGTGCCCGGGTATTGTATTTTTGGCAGCAAATAAGATAATATATATAATAAATATATATATATATATATATATAATATTATATATATATATGTATACACAGTATAATAATAATAAAAAAACAATGAATTGAAAGCTCCAAATGATGACTATGTTGTTGAATGATTGCCATTCACTTATCGTATGGTTTATTATTGTTATATAAACCAGAAATAAAATACACTAAAAAATATTAGAGCATATAATTCATTGAATGAATCACTAGTTTATATATATATATAAGTGTTAGCTTTCTATATATATATTTTGATATATATATATACCTTAGACTTGGTTAGAGTGAGTAACTGGTAATCAACTGTCCTATGTGGCCTTATATTTATTGCCCAAAAAAATCATTAATATAAGGTAATCACAACAATAGCTGTCATGGTTTTAATGAATTTTCAAAGTTAATTTTCTTAAAAACTAAAGACAATTAAATACTAAAATTTTCTCCATCATCTTCAATAATTATTACGCAATGTATATAGAAATTATCATTTTTATTTTTAAAGTATTTCTTAACTTATTTTGCAAAAAAAGAAATTAAGTCATTTTTGACATAACCTTAAATTATTTATTTTAAATAGACTAGACATTTTTTTATAATTAAAATCAAAGGATATTTTGCTAGTATATTAACAGGGTTATATAGTGAATAAACAATAATTTTTTATCCCAACTCTTTCAACCATTTTTTCAATCATTTAGTAACATATTTTAAAATAATATTGTGATAAAAGATTATTTGAGTTATTTTTTATTAAAACATCACTAAATTTTATCAAATCATTTATAGATTAATGCATTAAATGTTAATTTATATAATAATTATTAAACTGATAAATATTTTTAATTTTTTAATAAATTATTTTATAAATATTGCAATTTACTAAAATTTGATGATTAATTGCCAAAATTTTATAATTATAATTAACTTAGATATTTTATTTTTTATTAATCATATTTAGAGACTCATAGAATTATATCTTATACAAAAAAATCTATTTTATCTTACTTCAAGACTAAGTTATAAATAAAATTAAAAAATATTTCATTTTATTCAGCTTATAACAAAAAGTTATTATTTAATTTATAAGTATTTTTTACTAATTTATGACAAATAATCTAAAACAATGTTATAATAGAAGATGAATATATTGTTTAATAGAGGACATAAAAAATTTGATTTTTAACTTTTATTTAAAACTTAATTATCGCTTAACATTTATCTCATCTTATTGACTAATAATCGTCTTTAAAGCTTTAATTAAATCTTATTAATTTTTGATAATTTTTTAAAATAATCACTAAGGTAACCACTATAGAATTGTGGAATTAAAAATGATAATTTATGATGAAATCATATAAATAATAATTAAATTAAAAATTTATGATTTGTAAATTTTGGATCATATTTATTAGAATGGCCATTTTATCTTTAAAACAAATTATTTTAAAAATTTTGATTATAAAATTTAAAGACACATAACCATTTTATTTTAATAAAAAAGAATTGCATTTTTATCATTAACAGTAGCTTCACAGGAATAACTTAAAGTTGATACATTTCAGTGTGACAGAATTTTTTGTGGTTATCTTATATAATGATAACTTTTGGTATATTTGTGATATGTGTTTACTATGATTGTGTTCATACTGTTTATAAATATCATTCATATATGTTGTGTCGGTTCAAGTATTAATATTTTCTAATTTCAACACTTATTTAATTAATTAATGAATTTGCTTTCAATTTTTAAATAAATATATCTTTAAAAAAAGATTTCTGTTTGTTTTGATAGCATTAAAACTATTATTTTCAATGTGAAAAAGTTTTGCTATTATTATTATTTTTCTGTACAAATATACTGTATAATATACAGTGTATATAATGTGCTTTTGTTATCTCAAAATTATATAACACTTATTATACTACTGTATATTAAAGTATTATACATATATAAAAGTTTAGTTTAATTTACGAGTAACTCATTAGTATGTTTCTCTCATTAGTTGTCAGTATACACACAAAAAAAGGATACACACAAAAATGTTTTAATAATTATGATTATTGTCACAACACATAAACTTAATTTATAATTTTATTGTATTGTATAATATATTGTATATTTTTAGTAAACTGAATATATTAAATATTTATATTCAGGTATATCAAACAACCCTTTTATAATTTATATATACAATACAATACATATACAAAATAAATGCAATTAAGACAATCTTTTTTCTAGAAAAACAAATAAAGATAAAACTCATACAATTAGTAAAAATATTTTATTCAATTTCTGTTTTCATTTATATATTCATATACAGTATATTGCTTAATATAAATCATTTTAAAAGCACACATTATGTTATACTACTAATACTACTACTGGTAGCTCATTTGTATGTCATTTTATTATTACTACTACTAATTAACAATAATTTCAGTGATAAAACTAAAAAAAGTAATTTTAATAAGTGAGATATGCGGTACCCATAAACTATTGCCAACGCACCTCACCGTCAGGTATTGTCTGTCTATTAATTGACTGAAACTTGTAATACATATACGATAAAAATAAATTATAATTTAAATATAATTTAATTCAATTTTAATAAGTAGTCACACAAAAAGTTACTGTTCTTCTAATTTTACTTAATTAGTGAGTTTATGTAATATTTTTGTACATATATTATATATCCTATCATTTGAGATAGAAATAGATAGATAGAGAGGCACAGGTATATTACTAGGAAGGAAGGGTAGAAGCTATGATGATAATAATTGGAGACCACTTTAACATGCAAGTCATACGGCATGACTTGTGTCAGTGACAACAACGACAACACAAACAATGGTAGATATATATGAAAAGTAACTCAAGTTTGTCGACCCATCACATCATTCATGACTTGAGTGCATAACAACTTTGCAGTTATTTTTTTATATATAAAAATATATAGCAATAAATTGGTAGCGGAAATGCACTCATGTTTGTAGTCTATTATTAAATTTATTTTATATAAATTTCTCTCTCTCTCCTTCTCTCACTCACTCACTCACTCACTCACTCACTCACTCACTCACTCACTCACTCACTCACTCACTCACTCACTCACTCACTCACTCATTCACTCACTTATTTATATTATATTTACTCTCTTTCCTATTGCTAGTATAAACATTTGTTTCACACATTAATGAATGTCAGATATTTAACCAAAAATTTCTTTCTCTCAATTGTGACAGAAAATCGGAGACAATATCCGCAAAAACAATTCACACGTTTATTAAGTTAAGTTAAAAGTTAAACCTTTAAATCCTTTTTGTTTTTGGAAAATT